CAGTGAAAGACTAGAGGGAAGACAGCTAGTCATCATCACCCACCCACACTCTCGGGCTATTCTTTTACCAACGAATGAGTGGGTGGAGGGGGAGAATTGACTATCACATAATAACGGTTGAAAGGGCGAACATGTTTGAGAAGGGGGAAGTAGATTCGAACCCGCCGCTATCCCCAGAGTGTGAGTCGAACGCCCTGACCACGCCAGGGCACAAAACAGAGAGAACAAAAAATACTTTTGTTTCAAAGTTGTAAAAAAAAGCATTACTCTAAATAATTATAAATTTTTCGATAATTCACATTGAAATTTTGTAAAAGAAAAGTTTATACAACTTGAAAATTCTTACGTTAAAATTATAAAACATTTCTCCTGATTTTGACAAATAAAATTTCTAAAAAAATGCATGTTAGATGATTTAAAAAAAAACTTTTTGTTTAAAAAACACCTTATCGGTTGGTACTATAAAAAATCTCACTTCAATAAAAAATACATAATTCCTCTTTTTTAATTTTATTTTTATTCACTGTACAAGAATAAACAGTAAACTGATAAGATAAAAATATCTGCATGTTATAATCATACATCTATATAAAAAAAACTTACTCCAAGTTTCAAGAACGCTAAAACTGAACCACCCAAATATTTCTACATCTTAGCTAAGTTCCTTTATGTAATAGCATTTTGTAAGTTGGAGTAAGTTCACTTCAAAACAGTTCCAAACTAAAGCCCTTGTAAGGACATTGGATAAATATGACATACTGGTAATGTTAATTTGATAAAAAAATAGTACAGTTATAAAATGAAATATTCCAATCTTAGAAATAGAGGGGTATTTATTTCATGTATGCGTTATATCTTGTATATTTTTTTTATTTCATATTCAAGAAAAATTACAAACAACAGTGGATTTGGTGAATATTATTGAAATATTATATTATACACCGTTCTAATTCTTGAAAATCCCTCAGGGACTAGATAAAGATGCAGTGTTAAAAATATAATAGACCTAATTCTAATGTCTTATGACAAGTATAATTAATTAAAACCATCATTGTTAGAGGAACGACAGGATAATGATCATCACACTTATATGTTCTTTTTTTTTTTCCAAAAGATAAATAAATGAGTTTGATCAAATTTAAAGTTGTCGTTTTTTTGTTTTTGTTTTTTTGGGGGGAGGATAATTCAAACATTTTATATTTTATTCTTTATATGGAAAATTTATTTGTTGATAGGCACAAAGCCACTCGACGAAATATTTGCGGTCTTCCCACCGAGGGTATCGAATCTCGATTATTAGCGTGATAAGCCCTCAAACTTACCGCTGAGCCACAGAGAAGTGTTTGTAGAAAAGCTTCGTGCATTTCAATGAAACAACCTCTCCAGTGGAACAACAGTATGTCTGCGGAATTACAACGCTAGAAACCAGGTTTCGATACCCGTGGTAGGCAGGGTACAGATAGCCCATTGTGTAGTTTTGTGCTAAATTATAAACAAACAAACATTCAGTGAATAAAAAACCAAAAATGTGTTTTTTTAAGTTGCTTAACATTCGCGAAGAAAATGGTTTAACGTTAATCAAAGTAAATCATGCAGTGCAAATAAAAAAAAATCCTTCTCTTTAGTTTACTAGAGATTTAAAATAGCTCACTTAAGCTTTGGCTCTTATATTTCCACGCGAAGAATTGTTTCGTATAGAATACATTTAACAGTATAACCCTCAAAAATTTCCATTTAAAACAACTGAAGTTACACACAAATTAACAATAAAAACATTTGAAGCCACAAGTAAAAAACACAAACATTCCAACCTTTTGAATTAGTAATTTTCCCATTCTCAGTTCATTCTGTTCACAATGTTCAATATAATGTAAACATAACACAAGAAGCTTACCCTTGATAATAATATCATATTCTTCATGGGTTTGAATTATCTTGATAGATTAACACTTAATTAAACAAATGTTTCATAAACTCTAAATATTTTTCCTGCTTGACGATAGCATTATTATGTATGATTCGAATATATGTCTATTCGTTGTTGCTAACTTCTTGAAGCACATAAAACGTATTCTTCATTGTAAAATTTCGCTGTGAAAGCAGCTGAACAATCCTTATTATTCCTTGATACCAAATTTAATTTTATTGCGAAAATATTAGTTTTATCGCTAATGTAGAAAGAACCGTCATACAAACACACACTTGGTCCCTGCAAAAGTCTCGTTGTCACTGATACATGATATAATTCCATATACTAATCAATCCATGTTGAACATATATATTTGTCTTCAACTCCTCCTAGTATTTGGTCCAGCATTCGTTGGTCGACAATTAATTCTTTTCGATTCTATAAAGACAGTATTTATATTGTTCACACATTTAACAGCGACAGTTTGATTAATAGTCTATTCAGCTCAACAATTGAATGTGAATTCAAAGATAAACAAGGGAAGTCAAGTTACTTGATAATTTCCATCGATTCCATGTTTAAGAAGGCAACTCAATCTGGAAAATGTACCAACATTTGTATCTATGAGTTTTTGGCTCACCACAAAACAGCCATCTATAAAATGCTCTCCTCCCCTAAAGTATTATACATGAAGCTTAAAAGAAAAATATTCGAGGTACAGGCAACCTAAAACTATTTCGTAAATAATTTATTAATCTTTTTTGTACTAAGTGTGATAAAATTAATTTTTTACAAGTCAACTTCATACAACTAAAATATCTTACAAAAATAGGAGAAACTCTTTGGCAAAACATTTGGATAGAATTGTTTATATTTTTACTATTTAAAAACATATTTTTACTTATTTAAGAAAAACAATACCCAAAGTTATGGAAATAAGATTCTTATTAATATATTTTAGCAGAAGTACAGGTGAAGGTTAGGTAATAGAAACACAGAAAATATTAAATAAAATGTCATTCTAATCAATTAACATATTTAATTCAGTTTCAACATTTACAAACATTCGATGTTCGACATGTGCTTTAAAAGTGGTTACTTAAATGACTGAGTACTATACATTCAGAAGATTTGATCATCTGTAAAGGTTATTACACTCTAATGTAAACTTACAAGATTTGATCAACTGTAAAAATTATTTACGTTCTACTGGAATAACTGCCACACAAAATTAAAACGAATTCTATATATTCAGGTCTGATAAATATATACACAATATAGATCTATACCTTCCTATAGTGTATGTTGTTTATTACTTCTATCCCAACTTAACATCAGTAGTGAGTAGACGTGGACAGTGACGTCCTGGGAATGTTGTAGACCACATCATAAGTAGAAATGTCAGTTGAGCTCTCAAAATCATGTCTTTCTTCACGACTTTTGCCCCCTATAATATCGTAAAGTTCACCTTTAAAATGTGTTTGTGATTACATAGCTTCAACTTTCAAAACGTTTCGATAGGAGCATTAAAATACCCTCAAGTTACCTTCTAATGAATTATGACACAAAACTTTACATTTTTCAAGAGCTTTTTTTTTGTAGAAAATAATATACGATCTCTTAAGGAAAACTGGTATATATATCACGTGAGTCACATTTTCAATACATTACTTCTACCTGTTATAATTAAGCCAGCCATCTCGTTCTTCTACGTTAATTTGAAATATGACAATATGATATATTAACTTAGGTTGTGATTTTCTATCATGATAACAGTCTTCTTTTACCACTACCAAAACCATTAAGGAGACACGTAGTTTCTCGAGACAATCTTATATTCATAATTTTCCATAACTGAATTAAAAACGTCAACAGTATAAAAGTATATAATATTTCACTCGCAAATCTAAAATATACCCAGTTTTTATTCTTTTTTTAAAGGTATTTCAATGAAAGTAATGCTTTCAATTGAAAAGAAACGTTGTGACAAAACGTAGAATGTTTGACAAACATACTCTTGAAGGAATTCCTATACTTTATTCTGTTACTAGTTTAAGTCAATATTTACAATTCTATAAAATGATACGCATTTTTAGCATCAATTCATTATGATAAAAGTACTTTATAATAATTACTGAAATCAACTCTTCATTGGCGTTCTTCCCAAACCAAAAAAAGGGAAATCTAGTATTATTTATTGTAAAACTAATACTTTTGATTAATACATCCATGAAGTTGAACAAGAAAAAGAATGAAGTTGCTACTCTTATATTAATAAATCATACTCATATTAGTGTAAAGCATGTCAGCGCTATTAGCAGCGCCCTCTGCCAATTTGCTCTTTCTTCTTTGCCATACATAAGTCCACGCTAAGAGCAAAATGAGCTGAGCCAAAAGGAATAGAGAACACGCAATGATCAGGCCTATGATATTCACACAGCTTGACTCGTCTTCCACTGACTGGGAATCTGGTAAAAAAATATTAATAAAGTTAGCAAAAATTATATTTATGAAAGAAGAATCTAAAAATAAAATCTAATTGTCTTAACAATATTTAGCTTAAATATAGGCTTTTCAACCTTAAAGTATCGGCTGGCTGTTTGTTGTTAAGTGCAAAGTTACATAATGTTCTATTGGCGCTAGGAAGAATCGAACCATAGTTTTTGGCATCATAAGCCCTTAAGTTGACCGCTGAGCTCGTAGAGAACTTTAAAATGTCACTAAATGCTCAATATACTTTACATGAAACATCTTAGAATCACGTTTAATTTGAATTTTAAAATATTGACTAAAGATATGATACTTTCAAACCACTTCCTGCAGGTTGTGTTGCGATAAAGCTGAATTCCCGTCATATGACAGGAAATAATGATTAATTTTTCTTCTTGAAATTGTATCTAAATAAATGTTTTATGAACATGTTTTCTAAAAATTATCTATAATCTAGTAACAATATATGTATGGAGAATGACTATACTATTTCAAGTATTTCACGAAAATAACATTTTTTATGTATATTTGGCCATCTCCTTTAACTATTACTTTATTATCATTTTGACTTCTGTATATTTTTAAGTTATGTTCAAATGTTCTTTTTGGTAAATCCTTATAAATTGAAACATGCAATAAAATGGATTTTCAAAGACATATTCCTACTTGGTCAACTGTACGGCCCTACAAATTATTAATTGTGATGGTAAAGGCAGTGAATTTTATTACGAATTTCGGGCTCTTCTCTTTGGACTGGTTTTGGCTTTGTTAGCCTGCTGAGCTGAAGAAGCGTGCTTTCATTTGGGCATTTTCAAAATTGAAATGTGCTGCGGGTAAAACATGCGGGATATTATAGAATTGCAGCCGAGGGTTCCGAATGGACAAAATTTGGTGATGTTGCATCAATGTGTCAGGAATTACTGTAGAACATGTAAAAATGTCAAGACATTAAAATCATCGCAGGCCTGTGTTATCAGTAGGGAAGAGGACAATTTTCCTCAGAAGGACAGATGTGTATGCAATCACATGGAAATCGTATGGTCATCCAAAGGCAACAATATGTAGCCTGTTTGCTCAGTTATATATAGTGGATTCAGGTGCAATATGTAGCATGTTCCTGTGAAAGGAAATTTTATATTTCTTTTGTGTATTGCCAGTTTTATACGGAATAGTTTTTATTTTCAGTGGTTTCCCGTCATTTTTGACAGACTTTTTATGCTAGTATAGATATATATATCTACTATATAAAGACGAAAAGCGGTCCGTCTGTCACGCTGATATCTCGGCCGTTGTGGTACCGATCGACACGCAACTTGTGCGAAACGACGGCGCTCTCTGCCGCAACAAGCTAGTTTGTCTTTTTAAAATTCTTTCAGCCATATATATATGGATGATATAACGGATGATGCGTCACTTTGAGCGTGTAAATGGATTTGAGGGTAGGTTTATAGAGATCGTGATGAGTAATAAAATCGAATTGGGTATACGCGCGCCCTGCACTTGGTATTGCTAGCGTACAAAAGTCATTGGCTGAAATTCCCCATTACTTTTGTTTGTTGTCAAGGAGTACACTGAATCCGAAAATGATATCCATTTTCTCCATAACGTAACAAAAAATATAATAAAAATGTTTATTGTGGTAAATGAAATAATAATTTGATCTAAGTAAGAGTTTTTTTCTTCCCGATTTGTAAAAAATCCTTACGTGACAGAAAAAAAATGAATATTACTTTCGAAATCTGCGTAGATGAATTATGGAAAATCCATTATTAAAACCAAAACAACTTTTATGAAGTTTAAATTTGCAGGCCTGTGTAATTGGTATCTTCAGTCTGTTTCAGCAAAGGCTTTTTCGTAATAATTCCCAAGTATTGAGTTGCGCTAATTTTTGACTTATTTTTCACGGGAGTCTTCCCGACTTTCTTATTCGGATCTTGCCTAGCTTGACGTCATAATGATGTGGATGATGTGGTGTCACACACATAACGCCATGTCTGATCTGATCCTGGGAACTTCCTCCTTTCAGGCTTTTATATAGCAGAAAAAGTGCCAAAATCTAGGAGCTATTTACGCCTATGTTAGCGATTAAATTCAACTAAAATGGAAATGGTCAATTAAAAGAGGACGTGTTATAGGAGAAAAAGTAGAATTGGACTCGTGTAACTCACGAAATTCGGAGAAATCGAGCGTGACCGACTGACACTTGGCTTTTATATATATATATATTGATGATTACAGTGCAATGCACATTCTAACTTGTGATGGCCCTGCTACCCAGGTGTCGTATGATTCGTTCTGTCTTTCTCAGCTGGCCTGATGAGCTCTGGTATTGGGCGAAAGACCTTTTCAGCTCTATATATAGTATGGTTGACATATTGTTAAATACATTCAGATGATTCTTCTTTCCTTCCACAATTAGGTTCTTAGAACTAATAATATTGTTAGACAGAAACTGAACGGACTGAAGTTTTGACTTCGGAGTTATTCCTGATGTTTAGTGTTTGTACTTTCGTTGTTAACCACAAAAAACTATTAATGTAAACACTTGAATGATATCCTGTCTTATATTCTTAGAGAAACATATTAACGTGCACTGAAGATGTTGTTTTACCTTTATAATCTTTCTTCTTTTGTTATATTGTTAGAGAACCATTATACCTAGTACTGAAGACGTTGTTTTACGTTTAATCTATCTTCTATTGTTATATTGTTAGAGAACCATTATAACTAGTACTGAAGATGTTCTTTTACGTTTATAACGTTTCTTCTTTTGTTATATTCTTAGAGAACCTAATACCCAGTAGTAAAGTTATAACTCACTTGCATCATTTTGTCTTTCGTATGACGTTTCATCAAAATCAGAAAGTTTTCTTTCGCTTCTCTCGAACCCAAATTTATCTGTGACTTGTATGGACTGGACAACTAACAGTTCATTCTGTTCTGCTAATTCGCGTCTCCGTCTCCCTAAAGAATCATGGCTACGGAGCTCTCCATCAAAATACTTTGATGTACATTTAGCCTGTTGGTAGATTATATATACATGATTCAGTTAACCATCTAATAACCATCAAAACTGTAACACATTTTTCTAAACTATTTACGCCTAAAATTGCTTGTGGGTTTATGACTTTTTTTTAGGTTACGAAAGCCCTAATAACATGGCAGTCATACAAAAATTATAGAAAAAATACCCTCAGTACTGCATACTGTTGGGGTTTCCTATGTATTTTAGATATTAAGTGACGTCACCAAATTTTTGGTCAATTCTTTACTGGGGGTGTTTTGAAAAGAAAAAAATAATCTCACTACGATGCTATTTGAGGACCCCACCGGTAACGTATGAATGTCATATAAACAAGTCGATAGTGCGCTGTTATGAGCCAAACATTCTGTCAACAACATTGTCATTCAATTGTACAATTGAACGAAATTTAACAACTCGAAAATATGCTGAGAGTTATGATAAATTAGCAAGCAATGTAAGGTGTTGGGCACAGCAGCCACGTGAGTTGTAAGGAAAAAAGTAACCGTTAGTTTGAAGTTTTGAAATAGCTATTTGTGAAATAATACTGTTACGTCTGTGTTCGTTTGTTAATTTTCCGTAGAAAATTCTTTCCGACAAACTTCAGCGATACAAGTCCTTTCTTAATAAAACTACTTTATTCTTTCTCAACTCAACTTTGCAATACACTTAATTTCCACAGTCACTTTAACTTCACAAAACGCTATAATTCACAACGATTCACGCACTTTACTTACTACCGCGCTTGACTCAGTTGTCCGTCTCTGTCTGTCTGCAATTCTATTCTCTGATTAATTAATTTCACTTTATCTGACGCACTTATATACCAGAACAGAGGGCGCGTAGAAAAGACCAGAGTTTCCACGAACAGACATGATCCTTCTAGAATATCATGACGTGTTGCTAGAGTCACGTGACTTCCGCTGTGGTAACAATACATTTATTGTGCCTTAAACGTTGTACGGGATCATGTCTCTCTGTTAAAGACGAAACGTTGTACAGAAATAAATCTAGTATCCCACAGAGAGCTGTTTCAAAACTTCATATTGTTCGTAGGTTAAGTGTAAGCCTCTTAAAAAGCAAGTAATGATTATTAATTTGTTCCCTTTATCTATGTTTAGTCTTAGTTCTCAACTATCATACGTGTAATTTCGCTTACTATCGCCAGATGGCGGGTCTTCACTAGAAGAGTTTTTTTGTTTGTAATTAAACACAAAGCTACACAATAAGCTACCTGTGCTCTCCTCACCACGGGTATCGAAACTCGGTTTCTAGCGTTGTAAGTCCGCAGACATACCGCTGTGCCACTGGGGGCTCATCAGAAGAGAAGCATATTAGCAAATAATATTTTAGGTAACTTCAGTATTTCTTATGTATTTCAGGATTCAAAACAATTTCTTTAATAAAGATG